TCTCACACACACACACACACACACACACACACACACACACACACACACACACACACACACACACACACACACACACACACACACACACGCACACACGCACACACACACATATATGCACACACGTATCTTCCACACACACACATCCAGTTGAAGGTGTAAAAAATGTAAACACGGTGAAAGGCAACTTTAAACTGAAAGTAAACATAATATAAATGTAAACAATCACATTTTGAGGTATCAGGATTAACTAGCTTAACCCTCTCACTGTCCTAATGGGTGTGACCCCGCTAGGAAAGTTGACCATTGAGCAGGATTGATGGTCCATGTGGCAGGGGTGAGGAGTGAGCACCACCTCGACCCTGGAAGTCACTTACACACCCCGGGGCCGGGGCTTCCAGTACCTGGTGGACTGGGAGGGTTACGGTCCCGAGGATCGCTCCTGGGTTCCCCGCTCTTTTATCACCGACCCTGATCTCATCAGAGACTTCGAGGCCTCTCGACTCATGACTCATGACCAAAGCTTTCTTGCTGAGAGTGGGTGTGTTCTGAGGTCTTTGTAAAACTAACTTCCAGCAGCATTCACGTCAGTTCGTGAACTCACCACTATCACTGAGGAAGGGAACAGCCGTCCCTAACCTCCACCTGCTGTTCTGTCACACTGACAGAACAGCTTTGAATAAACGTAACTGTAGCCAGCTGACGCAAAAACTCCTTCAGAGTATTGACTTGGAGACGCAAATAGTTCCACCAGTCGAGTGACCCAAGGAGACATCTCAGGACCGATTTGGTCGTGCCAGAAGTTTTTCTACCAACCTCGTGCCTGGAGGAAACCATCTCCACCTGGACACTTCGGATCCAAAAGGGAGTCTTCTGATACTGGGTGAGGTAGACTTCGACAGATTGTGTTTGATGCTGTTCCTCTAAGTAAACTCAGTCAGCTGCAAAGCCATCATTTCCAACCCAGAACACGTTCCTCTCTTGAAAGAAACCTTCTGAGAAATCCATTCACGCATCCAAACTCGTATTTCCAATTTAGCTTTCATCCAGCCACAGGTTTGCCTTTTAAAACAAGTTTAATATCAAAGCTGTTAAAAATTGTCATTAAATTGTCATCCATGAAATGTCATTTTGTAAATGTCATTCAAATCGTAAAGTTTAAAAATTGTTAATAATAAAATCTTCATTTTTAAACTCGCCTCATTCTTTGAAATGAAACACAGAAAGGTATAATCATTTCTGGTTATTGAAAAAGCAAAGATTCCTAACTTCTGATTCAAAAAGAAACTTTTGCTACTAAATTTAATTACCTTAAATTAAACTTTAATCTTTGGATTAAAAATAGACCAAACAGGTTGGAGTATGAACTTACATCGATTATATAAGTATCCTGGATATTTATACATGATGTAAGCTTCATAGGCTGATTTGCTTGGTCATTCTCAGAATCTACAACTGATAGCAAACTGTGTTGATTCTAGTATGTAGTATAACTCTACAGCAAAAAAGACTAAATAAAGCGCAGAGTTAAAACTTTTCCTGGCGCAAACTTTTCCAGGAAACTAAATGAAAAACAAAAACCTGTAAAAAAAACTACAAAAATGTTGTTAGGTCTCACATGGGTCGCACATAGGAAACCCTAACTAAGGTGTTTATCGCTCTTGCTGATCTGAATACTTGGTTTTCATACTGTTTTACATAATGATGAAGGCATGTGGGATTCCTGAAGAACTGGAGCGGATAGAAGAATCTGCTCAGAGACAACCTGGCGAAGGAAGAACTGGACAAAAGTTTGGATCTGTGAATAATCTAATAAGATCCTATAAACATCAAGTAAGTTTTTGGATTTCTTTCATCACCTTGGTTTTTAAATGTTCTAAATGATGCAATGATCCATTTTTACTCCTCAAAAACTTTAGCTGGATAATATGAATCAGGATTATCTAATTGACACAGAAGATGCAGTGATGTTTATACATTTTCTTTTCACGTCTAAGGAATTTTGTTGGATCGCTCATGAAACATCAAGCAATCATGAAAAGCATCCTAAAACTCTTGTTTCTAACAGGTCAGTGTCTCTCCAAACCTACCTTAAGTGTCAAAAGTCAACCCCTTACCCTCTCATTTGACCAATTCTGAATACTTTACCCACACAAATATGTTTGAATACAGTTATAAAAATAAAGGCTTAAACTGTTGTGCTGCAGGATTGTGCTCCCTGTCTCTCTTTGTGCACGGGCATCCGTACATCTTATTCCAAACTCCAAAAACCTGGACAGAAGCACAGAGCTACTGCAGAGAGAAATGCATCGACTTAGCCACCATGGAGGACATGAAAGACATGAATGTAGTTCTTAACTATGTCGGAAACAGCTACAGTGATGCCATATGGATCGGGCTGTATAAGGGGAGCAACCCAAGGTGGATCTGGTCTCTGGCAGACAAGGATCTCTACAAGGAGGGAGAGAAGACTTATTTTAAATGGGGCTTAGAAACTTCCAATAACTGTGTAACTTTAAGAGACGGCCTTCTCTACGTGGACATCTGTATAAATAACATGCAGTCAGTCTGCTTTGATCGTGAGTTACTTGCTGTTTCTTATGTTTTTATTTTAGGTGGCAGACAGTTTTTGCATGTTCCAAAAACTTAATATTAACTTATTGGTTTTGACCAAATTACAGTTTGATATAACAACACGTTTCTATGTAGCTTTGGACAGGATCTTCCCGCAGTGATATAAACTGTGATTTTTTCCTTCTTAGAAACCAAACAAGGAGTAGATCAGTACAGCCTCTCGGAGAAAATGGTTTGGACCGCTGCTCGGGATTTCTGCAGACAAAACCACACAGACCTGGCCAGTTTAAGGAACAATGCAGAATACCAGATGGTCCAGGGGGTAACCAATGGAGTGACAGCATATGTAGGGCTCTTCAGAGACCCCTGGGTGTGGTCAGATCTGTCAGACTCTTGGTTTAGGTTCTGGAGACCAAGCCAAGCGGTTAATTTTCGAAATGCTCTAAACTGCGTTGCTATGCTGAAAGAGGAATCTGGTAAATGGGGAGACAGGAGTTGCACAGAAACTCATCCGTTCCTCTGCAAATGCAGTGAGTAACGATTAGAACCAGTTAATGTTCATGTTCATGTTAATGTGCATCATGAAGATGGAGTCTTTATTTATGACTTTATTTTGGTTCCTAGATAAAAGTCAACAACATTATATCAAACTGAGGATCAGCTCATTGGACTCAACGTTGGATCTAAACGACCCGAAAACGAAAAACAGTATTCTGGAACAGGTGAGGCCATAAGATTTAGTTTTTGCTCACAAGGTAACATTTTTCTTCTCGCAATAAGAACCCGAATTTTGTCTTCTTTGCAGATGCAGAATAAGCTGAGTGAGAAAATTTCTGGAGTTGTTCGTCTGCAGTGGAGAAACCACTCTGATGGTCAAGTTTTCAGCAGGGACTCTGATGGGAACGACCCGTGAGAGGAAAACAGGACTCGTGCTTTTCACAAAACACAAAGTTTAGTCTGAAATCATTTAAAATTTATTTTTAGAACAGAAATGTTCACTGGTTACATTCTAGCTAAATGATGCATGGCTCAATGGGAAACAAAAAAATTATTAAATAATATGTTTCAGCTGATGTAATGACATCACTGAATGCTCATTATTAGTAGAAATCTGTCAATCAGGACTAAACCAGGTATTGTTAACTATATTATGTGGAGCATGAATAGTTTTCATAGAAAGCAAAGCTAATGTGTTTTAAATTTTCTTTATTACAGTCAGCTCAACTTGTTAAATTCATGATCACATCACAAAAATAGGTTTTTATCATCTAAAGAACATTTCCAGAGTCTGCCCCGTTTTCTCTCTGGCCAATACAGAGACGTTGATGCATGCTTTTATCACCAGTAGAATAGACTACTGTAATGCCCTTCTGGTCTTCCCAAAAAGAGCATCTTAGGTTTACAACTTCTAATTCGGTGGCACGTGTCCTGACGAAGGCCAGGAGGTGGGAGCATATTACACCAGTTTTAGAATCACTGTATTGGCTCCCTGTATGTTTCAGGTTCGATTTTAAGGATCTTTTAATGGTTTTTAAGTGTCTTAATGATCTTGAACCTTCTTATCTCTCAGAACTGCTTTTACCATTTGAACCCTCACGTCCTCTGCAGTCCTCTGGCAGGCGTCTCCTGGTCATCCCTAAAGTCGGGACACATAATCACGGCGAGGCGTCCTTCCATTATGGCCCTCGCCTCTGGAACGAGCTGCCGAAGAACCTTAGGGAAGGTTCATGATTTTAAGAACAGGCTCAAGACCCACCTATTTAGGTTAGCTTTTATCTAATTATTTATTATAGTTTCATTTCTCGTTTTACATGATTACATTTTATTGTTTGCTGTGCATGTTTTACACAATATTTTAGCATTGTGTCATCATTTAATTGTATTATTATTTTACTGTCTCTATGATTTAAATCATTATTTATTTTCTTACTTTTATCTTTCATATTAGCTCTTTTATTTTATATTTTTACTCATTTTAATCCAGTGTTTCCTCTGTGGGGGCCCTCTGCCCTGGAGGCTGTGGTCGACTGTTACTGCCTGGGCGCTCTACAGGTAGTGCTTGAGTGGTGGTGGGGTCTGTGCTCTCCCTCCTCTGGGGCGCCCTGGCTTGGTTGCTGTGGTTGACCTGATGCTGTCGGGGCAGGCGGCTCCTATGATGGCGTTTCCTTGCCTACCTTACTTGACTCATCTGAACTCAGCAAAATATAAAATATAACTTTTACTGATGTTATTGGGTGTGTGTGTGTGTGTGTGTGTGTGTGTGTGTGTGTGTATGACGTAATACTTTTAAACTGTAAAGGGAATTTGGGGTCATTTTAATTCTGTAAAGCTTTTTGAGTCGCACATTTGTTTGAAAAGCACTTGAAAAATAAAGTCTGATTGATTTAAATTTTTCTTGAAATGAAATGTTCATCACCGCGTCATAATGATGTTTAATTTCCTTATGTTGTGCATTTGTCTATAATTTATTTATAATACACCAAAAACCAGTTTGAACTTGTTTGTGACTTGTTATACCAGAGATGAACAAAGCTGCTTTGCATTCTGGGCAAGAAATCTTTTCATAATTAGGAGGAAAAACAAATTGCTTTGGTGGTTGTAACGTCGCTCTGACGGTCAACAATAATAAGTAAAAAAAAAAAAAACTACGGAGTTCGGAAACGGAATCTTTATTCAGCCATGTTCTGAATATGACGCTAGCCAGTTTAGTGCATCGACATACGTTTTGTGGTGCGTTCAAGCGCTCCCACTACATAAGAAATCTCATACATAACATCTCCCCTTTTTACAAAACACAGTAGTATTTATTCCAACAACAACGTCCTTCTGGTTATCATTTAACTTACTACTTGGGAACCTTTAACAAACACATTTTCAATAAAATGTTACCATACTCCGAACCAAAGTCGCCTGAGTGCATTCTTTATACATAGTGCAACCTTTACAGAACCATTTTGATGAACCGAATTAACATTTACACTCCTCTCATTTAGATCTCCAACAGCGTAGACAATGACATTCACATTTTCTTTGAACCTTTCACAGACCAAGTTTATTTGGTGGTGTGATCACTCTGCCTGAATGAGTAACTGTAATAGCTTCAGGCAAATCGTCATGTGAGGATCCTTCAGTGTCCCTCTCTGACTCAGGCACCCCGCTACTGGGTACTACAGACTCATGGTCTCCTGATGTTTCAGTGCAAGCCTTGCTCTGTGGTGATTTCAGTAGATGTTTTCTGTTCCTTTTAAGCTGTTTTCCATCAGGAGTGTTTACCACATACAACCTTGGCATACACCCGTGCTCTTTAACAACCCCTGGAGTTGACCAGTGTCTCTCGCTGTCTATACCTTCAAGCCCTTTTAGCGTTTCAGTCATTTTCCATAGAAAAATCTCTGGGACACCTGTAATCCCAAAGGGGAGCCTGCGAAAAGCATATTGCCCAAATGGGATGATGAAAATTTTGAGCCTGCAGCTGTCCTTATGGAGGGGTATTTGATAAAATCCACTGGCTGCATACAGTGAGGAGAAAACTTTAGATCCCGTCAACCTTGGCATGATTTCCTCCGCTGTTGGCAGAACATATTTCTCACGTTTCACTGCCCAATGTTATCTTCTCAGGTCAACGCAGCACCTCACCTCCCTCCTGTTTTGCTTCAACACTGGAACCATAGCAGCACACCACTCAGTGGGCTCTGTCACCTTTTCAATGATTCCTTCATTTTCCAATATCTGTAATTATTTCTTTACAAGGGGCATTAAGGGAATTGGTACTCGTCTAGCTGCATGGATTGCATGTGGCTGGGCATCCTCTTTAAGCATAATGTTAACTGGTTCTGTCTCCAGAAGTCCACTTGTGCCAAAAACAGAGCTAATGCTTTGTACTCTTTTCACCAATCCCATCTTCACAGTTTCTGGCTGGCTGAGCAAATTGCTGCTTTGTCCTTGTATTATGTTATTGTGACTATTGGTCAAATGAATAGTTTGTAAGCTTTTACGTACTTTTTGGATTCATCAATAAATTTTAAAATATGGAAATATTTACCGATTTATTAATTAATTTGGACATTAAAATATCCACCGGGCACCACCCTTTTTAAAAAAATGGAAATGAATCCAAACATCTTATCAATCTTGTCTAAACGTTCCGTGAATCTTAACGAGCTGCAGTTAATTAATTCATATCACACAAACAAACTCAATCTGAGACAAAAATCTTAATTGGCAATACATTTATTAACTAATAATCACTGGAGCTCCTTCTGAAGTGTTTAGCCAATCAATATTAACCAACCTATTTTATCAACAACAATTAACAATGAAATGATCCTGTAAAACAATCTGACCCAATAAGTGTGTGTTTTAGTCTTGTGTCCTCCTAAACACTGAAAACACGTATGTGTGTGTGTGTGTGTGTGTGTGTGTGTGTGTGTGTGTGTGTGTGTGTGTGTATGTGTGTGTGTGTGTGTGGGCAACTTGCACTTTAAACTTCTGAAGCACGTTAAATCACAGTAACTTAAACCAAACTTCAAAAACCGTTTCACAAAAATCAAGGAACAACACAAAAGATCAATCATAAATGAATATCGAATAGTTTGTCAGCCTGGCCACAGCATAAAAACTACTTTGATTGGACAAAATGACTTACTCTCAAAATGATCCGACGGGCGTATTTTGGTACAGAGAAGAGAAAGCCATCTGTTAATTTGAAGCAGATCACTCTGTCGACCGCTTGTTCTGAACTATAGAGAAAACGGGAGAACAAGATAGAGAAGGGAGAGGAAAAAACTCTTGTTCATCAAACCCAAACAGCGAGGCGTCCCCCACTGTTCAATCGGCGTTCTCCGTTGATTTGATGGTTTTCTGCTGCTTTCCAGCGGTTCTGTGTCCTCACACGTCCGGAGTCGTAGCAGCGAGCGATCTCTCACACATCAGCTGAAGCTGAGCACAAGGAGAGCAGATCTGATGGTTTTCCGCTGCTTTTCAGCGGTTTTGTGTTCGATCCACTTCAGCAGCCAGGCCTCCCGCGTGCTGTCCGGAGCCGTAGCAACGAGTGCGTCTTCAAGCCAGTTGAACTGAACAAAATACAAGATAAGTTTTGTTCTGTCTAGGATTTATAGCTTTCAGCGGTCCGGCGGGAAGACTCTGTGTGGTTCCAGCACATGAGCAGAACTTGTGTTCCGGGGTTCGACAGTGATGTCATCACGTTGCTTCCGGCTCAAGGAATCATGGGAAATAAAGTCTCTCTTGGCGCTGGAATTTATTATCTGCTTTTTCAGAGCGCAGATGACACAGTTTTTGGAGAAAATGCTGCGTAGCAATTTTCTTATGAGGGCAGACGCT